CTGAGGGACCCCTGCCAGCATGCTGCCTGGGTTTGCTTTCTTGAGGCCAAGCCACACAGTTCCAATCTGCCCTTCTCACAGTCTTGCCCGCCACACTGCCAGTATACGTTACCTTCCCACCTCTCTAGATCTGACTCTGCCTTCCAAGATGATAAATAATGTATTATACGCATCCATTGCTAAGAATGTGAATTTCACCTACTTTGCAGGAGTAAGTGTGGGACTTGGAGTCAGACCCAAATAATAATCCTGGCTTTGCTAGACTAATACGGAATTTCAGAGCAAGGTACCAGACATTTCTCAGGCTCAGTCTTCCATGTCTAACAGATCTCATGCCTACCTTGCAAGGCTGCAGAGAGGATTGAATGGATACAACTCACGTCAGCCGTAGCACAGGGTCTGGCCTGTAATGTGCGTTCAGCCAATGTCGTTGCCTTCCTTTCCCCACATGAGTAAAATGGGTGCTTATTGAAAACCAGCCACATCCTGAAAATTCTGCCTTAGCTTCAAGGCAATGACTGTGATCATGAGAATAAATGGGCAGAGCAGTTAGCCTAGTATTAAACAGACAGAGACCACTTAATAGACCATCATTATTATTAGTGTTATCATCATCATCTACATTGTTGGCCTGTAAAAGCATCGTGTAAATTCATTCAGCATCAGTTTACTTACAGAGATGAACTGCTCCTTAAATATTCTGACAGGTGATCTAACGGAATTTTTTTAACTAAAAAAAACCTTACAACTTAATAAACTTCCACAAATTAGGGAAAGATTTGACTCAAGTTGCATACCTTCTTTTTAAGAAGGTGTGAATTCCGTGGGGGTGAGGTGCAAAAGCTGGTGTTTGAAAAATAAATTAAAAATAGGTCTTTAAGAAATAAAAAAAAAAATCTGTGTCTTTTGGCATTGCTGAAGTGTAGAAAACGCATCTGCAGTATTTGGAACCAGTGGCCAGATTGAAAGCTATGGAACCTAAATCCAGGCTTGATTGAATTTCCCTGAAAGCCACCCACATCGTCAAACACTGTTTTCTAAATTCATGTGCTCAGAGTTTTGTTAACCCAAATATTAGGCATAGTAAAGAATCATAGAGAAACTAGTCAAAAGCAGGATCTTAGAATTGTAGGATTTTAGAACTGGAAAGAATCTTGGAGACAATTGAATTCAAACTCCAAATTTTGCAGATAAAAGTATACCAAAGGCCAAGAGAGGTCTTAACATTGCATAGTGACTTCTCCTTTGGTGGCAAAGGACTTTCTGAATGAACTGCTTTGGCATAAGAGCAAGGGACAGGCCGAAAAAGTCTTTTTCACTTGGTGAGAAGAGAGACGAAATATGTTCTTAGGGAGTCAAGTGTTCTTTCACTGACTACACCAAGAGTAAGTAAATTACCTTTGCAAGGCATTATCCAAGGACTGACCCCAACCCTTCCCTGTAGGCCTCCCCTAGAAAGCTGAAATATGCCCAAATCAAACCAACCCAAACCTCTGAATTGCATATTAACACCATGTGCACAATACAGGCCTTGCAACTGGTTCAAAAGGAGGTCTTCCAGTACTGAGACAAACGCCACTGAGAATGCTTACAGCGCAAGTGTCACAGCCAGGTTCAGACATATTTGCAAATCATTTGCAAGTGATTTGCATAATCTTAGACAGACAAAAGTTGATTCTACCTATAGGGTTCTCATTTATACTTCAAAAATTCTTTCCCCACTTCTCTCTTTTCAATGATACACTCTACTATTGCAGACTTATAAGCCAGAGGCAAGTGAGAAGTTCTGAATTAGAGCAGGTGGCTGAGGACATTTTGTCAAAATTAATTCCATGGGCTGTTAATAAGTGCTATCTGGAAAAAAAAAAGTATTTAGTGCTTGGAAAACATTATTATTAGTTAAATTTAAATAGGATTCTTCGCTAAAATACTTGTTAGTGCCTTTTATATGCTAATGTGCACTGTGACTCTTTTGGGAGAGTTGTGCAGATATATATTAATCATTTTCAACACTTCCCTAACTTATCTGATCTTTATTCCACAAATCCTACTTTGGTAATACTGTACTAAAGCATAAGTAACCAAAAAGCAGTTCAACTTATAGCTTGCAAAGCCTTAATGAAATGCCATAAGAGAGAGAATTGAAAGTCGTTTATTCCTTGAGTAGATTTTGCTTCTTGATTTCCCAAAGGCTATTCCCTGCACAGGTATGGAAGCAGGGTACAGTTCTTGGCCAAGTGCAAAGTAGGCAAGTTATTTGGAAGTGTTTTCTTTTCCTAAGCATAAAACTATACAACAGAAGGTAAAGCTGGAAGGGAAGACTCCCTTTCATGCCCAATATGTAAATGTTAAAAGCAAAGCATTTTTCATTAAAAGTGTGGCGAGAAATAAAGAGAATTGGGGTCGGCGGATCCCCAGACCCATCTCTCATGGGAATTCCTCAAAAATCTGGGGGCTTTTTGGGGTAAATTTGAAAAACAACACACTCATGTGTATATACTATATATCCTCATTTTTAAGTGGTAAGTTGTTATTTACCAGAACAAGTAATTTTTGTAGAAGGTGGTGCTATTAAATAAAAAGTCTTCTTTTCCAATGAATACATTGATGGGACTAACTGAATGGAGGCTTAGGGCCAGGGAGAGAGGTGAATAGTTTGGTATAATAATCCAGAGGAGAGTGCAGAGTCTCCACTGCAGTAAAGGGGTGAGGGAGAGAAAACAGATGAGAAAAGGACAAGGAGAAAGAGATGGAGGAGAGGATTCAGTCAGAGGACTTGAGTCTACAGTGAAAAGTGGTACAGATGTCATCAGGAGATGGGCCAGGCCAGGAAATTTGTAATTCCAGATAAGTCTAAAATTCAACTTTAAATCATGATTATAAACTCTCCCTTGTCTCCTTAGATCTTCAGTTAAGTCCAAATAAACCATTGTGGAAATTGAGCAAGAAGCAAGTTCCATGTCTCAAATTACACAGGGTGGGACATGGACAGGCCACATGGGACAATCAGTTCATAAAATTTTGTAATCCAGAAGCAGCAAGGCTCATAGCATCAGAATGTAAGAAACCCGGACATCAGCAGAAATCTTAGGGAAGCCTTCAAACTTGTGTAGGGTGTACAGTGAAGGGTTAGGAGTCTTATCCGAATTGAAGGAACAGGGAGATCTCAGCTAACATCTGAATAAGAGAAGGAAGTTATAGTTTTGTATGGAAGAACCCTTCCTCTCCATTTGCTTGTGGCTTTCATTGCCAAAAAATGCCAGTATTCCCCAAATAAGTCAGCCTACATTCCTAATGGTCAACTGGCCACATCTGCTTGGATGACCCACTAGCACCTTAAACTTGGCATAACCCTGATTGTGTCTTCCCCACCGCTTTCTGAAGTCTGTGTACCTTTGTTTCTTGCCTCTGTGAATGGTTTCATCACTCATTCTGCTTCTCAAGAAGAAACTTAATTCTTAACTCTTTTCTCTCATTCAAACCATATAGCTGAATAGCCACCAATTCACCCTAACTTTTGCTGTGCCATCTTGTCCCCTCCTACATTTTCTCACTTCTTCAGTTTGGCTTGCACTTCCTTCCTAAAACAGTTCCAGGCACCTCTTAACTGCTCACTCTCCCCACCCCATCTACCCTCCATGCTTCATCAATTATCTCAAAATGCAGACCTGGTCAAGTCACTCCACCACTAAATATAATTTTTTCAGCTCCCCGTTGTTCACAGGATGAAATTCCCAGTAGCCTGGCTAAAAGCCTACTTGCAAATATGTGCCTGCCCCACTACAAGTTTCATCTGCCATTTCTCACCCTATATGCTATGCTGGAAGGCCACCCATAGCATTCTCACCTCCTTGTCTTTTCTCCTCATTTTCTTGTCTTTTCTCCTCATTTTCTTGTCTTTTCTTACAAAGACCCTGAGCAAGATATTCATGCACTCTCTCTTTATCATAATTCAAAATATCAATTAAAGATACAAGGTGTGATAGGAATTGTGTTTGGTCTTCAGACAATGTTTGTCTTGCTTAGTACTTTAACTGAAAAGAATAAATAATAATTACATTCTACATTTTGTGTCAGGGGAATGAGCTACAGAGATCTTTGGTGATTGTTAATTATACCTCACAGGTAATCACTACTCTACATGTATGGCTGGGCTTAATCAATGAAATGTCTACCCTCTGGAGGATGATTCTTGCTTAGAGTATAGCGTAAAGGCACAGATTATGGCTTGAGAAGAATGGGGGTTGAGTCTTTGTGTCATCATTCATTGCCAAGTGGCTTTAGGCAAAACGTATCACTTCTCTGAACCTTAATTTTTATCTCTGAGACAATATCTACTTCCCAGTGTTGTCACGCAAATCAGATGGAATTAGGTACGTGAAAATACCCTGAAAATAGTAGAGAAGGGGCTTTGTAATCTATAAAGTGCCACACAAATGTGAAAAGGAGTGCTATGAAAAGATAACCAGATGTGGAGTCAAAGTGCATACTGCAATGGGTTGGTCTGTGTCCTACAAAATGACATAATGAAGTTCTGATCCCCAGTACCTGTAAGTGTAACCTTATTTGGAAACAGGATGTTTACAGATGTAATGGAGTTACGATGCGATCATCAGGGTGGACCCTAATCCAATATGACCAGTTATAAGAGGAGAAGAGAGAGAATCACAGGGAGAATGCCATGTGAAGGTGGAGGCAGGTATTGGAATGATGCATCTATAAGTTAATGGACCCTGTGGGGAGAGGCATGGGAAAGGTTCCCCCTCAGAGCCCTCAGAGGGAGTCGATCCTGCTGACATCTTGCTTTCAGACTTCTAGCCTCTGGACCTGAGGGACAGTAAATTTCTCTTGTATCAAGCCACCTAGCTTGTAGTACTCTGTTGTGATAGCTGGGAAACTAACATACATGAGTATGAATTTTATTAGTTCCATAAGTTACTAGCTCTTTGAATTTGGGTTTAATTACTTAAAATTTCTCCTGATATTTTAAAGACACTTACCTTTCTGTGATTGTTTCTCTGAGACCGCTGGCCACGCCTTTGACCACGGTGCTGGCCTTGGGGGTCAGCACCACCTGAGATATAAAAAACGACCCCTTCTTTCTTCTCTCAGTGATGGACGCCTGAAGAAACTGGATCAGTTTTTCTGGGTCGGTGGTGTTGGCCCAGGGTGCTGGCATCATCTGGCCTGGCCAGAGAAAGGGCACCTCCAGAGCCACTGGGCTGTGATAGAAGACCAGCACTTGATAGTCCTTCTCCCACAGGTACTTGAGACTCACCTCCTGGGCAAAAATCGCTGGGCACATTTTATTCCCGTAGATGTCTTTCAGCATTTGCACCAGTTTTTCATGGTGGTATTTCTGCATCCCATAAAAATGGTTGAAGTCCAAGAATACTACCTCTTTATGGTGATCTGTGAGGAATGCATTGATCTCCTCTAGGCCTTCACTGACTTTGGCACTGAACAAACCATGAGCAAAGTAGAGTTCATTGTCGGGGTCTCTGGGCTTGGTGGAAATTCGTAGATCAAAATAACGGATCCCAGCTCCTAGCTGACCAGTGAAGTTCATTGTTTGAGTAGCCAGCCATTTCCGCATCAGCTTTTTGGCTACAGTTCCAAACACAGAGACAAAATTCTGGACAGTTTCTGGCTGTTCAGGCCCCACTGGAGAGGCTTCATCAATGTAGAAGCTGAAGGAATCATGAGATCCTAGAAAAATAACAAGGCATGATGTGGTTACATTTCAGTCCTTTGTCCTTCCTAACTTCTTTCCCTCTTGCAATGTCCCTGTCTCTTCCTCAAATGAGCCAAAGGAAATACTCAGGAATATTTACCTAGTTCATTCAAATGTCTTAGAAGTGTCCTTTTTATAACCTAGTGTAGTACACAGAGGACTTCAATAGACCAAACGGTTTGTAAAATGATAAGAAAAGATGCCATATAATAAATATTTTAAAATTCAGAAGATCGTCTTCTATTTTTAATGTATTCATTGGAATGTATTCATTAGAACTGGTTTTCTATGTAGGTGGCATACGTGACCGTCCATAAACTAGAATTTATAGGGACTCGCCAGTTTCCAAATACTTTGTCTGCAACCTTGCTCTTTCCCTTATTTCAGGTTTATTTTAAGCCTAGAGGGCTTGTTTCAATGAATAAAGAAGACCTTTTCACCAGCAGACGATCAGTGTCACCTCATACACTTGGGAAAGTGTAAGAGGTCACAGGAATAGAGGAAGGGAGAAAAAAAATGCAGGAGAACAGTACAGTACTGGCACATTCAACTTCATTTCTGACCCTGCATTTAGGCAACCGTGAACATAGATAAAGTCAAGTACTTCTTACATATTGAAAAAACAATTATTTTTTCTTACAAATTAACACAACAGACAACATTTAAAAATTAACTAATAGACTATTTTCTTCACAGACAGTTACTCTCAACAGTGAAAGCTCTTGCTGGAGTTGCTTCCAAATTTAGAAGAGATTTCTTCCTCGGAAGAATCTAGTTAGTTGGTTAGTTATTTTTGGCAGTTACAAATACAAAACTCCAGAAGTGTAGCGATGAACCTGTGTATGATTTGTCTTGTAAGTACAGAGTGCCATTTGAAATATGATTGGACCCAAAAAACGAAAAAAACATTTCAAGTTGTAATTTTATTTTTTAAAGCCTCCTTTAATTCTTGGGCATGACTAAGAAGTAAAATTAAATTAATGTATTCTGGATTTTTCACATATTAGAAAAAGCAGATGTCATCATTCCCCATCTGCTACTCTGGCTTCCTCACATCTTGTTGCTCTACTCCTGATCTACATCCCCTGAGGCACAGCTTTTTCTAGATGTTTCACCCTTCCAACTCAGCACACACACACACGTGTGCACACACACACACATATACAGCCCTCTAAGTTTATTATCACCACCTCAGGGCCTTTGCCTGATTGAAGCAACTTTTTTTCAGTGATGCAATACTTCTCTTTGTCTATATTCCATGTCTGCATTAATCTATATCTACATGTCTCTATGCATATCTCTATATCTATGCCTAGCATTAAACAGCCCATAAGAGTCACAAGAGTATGAATTTCAGACACCATGGTAGGTATTTAGAGAAAATATTTTGAAAAATACTTTGATATCTTGCAAATTATAACCTTCAAGATTTGGAACAGATAATACCTCAGAATTATTGGACTTTTTTCAAACAATGAAAGATAACCCCCAAATATAGAAATGCTGTGTTTAATTTCATCCTGAACTATCTGATCTATTTATCTTTAGGAGAAAGTATGGGAAGAAAATGTGAGCACTTTCTGAATAAGCAAAACTGTCAGTTTGGATCTGGCATTGGCAAATTTTAATAGGGATTTAAATTGCTGCCTGTTGATTTATTAGTTGCTGTTCAGTCGATTGCTAGTATTAATGAAGAAACTAAGCAAACTGTAATATTGTTCAAGAGTATGTTTAAAGAAAGAAATAAAAAAGTGAGTATAAGAAAAGTTATAATGAAATAACCTAGGATTAAAATAGGTATCAATAAATAAGCCCTCAAAATAAGGGCTAATTTACAAAATTTACAAAATTTAAAAAATCTAAAGTTTATTTCCAGGCATGTGAAAAAAAGGTGGATGAAAGTAATTGGTTATTTTTGTAATCTAGTTGAAGACAGAATTAGAAGCAGAAAGGGAATTAAATATGACTACATTTCTTCCTCCAGAAATGAGTTGTTCTTTGTTTTCAACATGTTAATAATGATATTAATTTGTTATTAAGGCTAAAATAAGGTAATGTTAAAAATATAAATTAAAAACAGCCAACAGTCAGAGGAGAAACCATTGATCCCCTCACCAATATTCATTCTAAGCTAGATTACGCTGATGTGCAGGATGATGCACCAGATGCAAATATTGTTTGGAGAGGAGAATTAAATTATCAATCAATACAAAACACTATCTATGCATTTTGGGAGAAAATACATAATCTAATTTTAGCCAAAAAAAGAATATTTTCAGGACTTTTAATTTCATTTGGATAGCAATTCCTCTCCAGTTTCAACATTTCCTCTAAATCATTACATTTTCTATTTGTTTGAACTTAAAATAAAAATACAGCAATACTGCTTTATGACTTTCAACAACAGAGAAAAAGTCTGGCCCAGCCCTGTGTCTTTAAAACTAGGAAGGCTGCCTGTGAGTGAAACAGTGCTAAGCACTGTTTTTCAGTTCGTAGCTACATTCACAACCTGTCTGCCTTATCTGGCCTAATATTTTGGTTGTACATTGGCTCAGTATTCCCATTTTCTTGTCCTCTTATCCTTCTCTTATCTACTTGTCCCTTGGACCTGATGCTTAATGTTGCTTCTCTGATTCTGAACTTAGCTTCTCCATGTTGTGTTTGATCTGCCATCTCTACTCAGACAAGGGCTGGCTACTTCCATCATGAGCTCAGTCCAGGCAAGTTCCTTTGCTCTGGCTCTGGATAAGTGAATGTAATGGAAGAGGTTATTTTCTTTCATTTCTTGGAAACAGGCACCTTTATTAGTTTCTCCTCAGTCTGCTACATCATTCCCTCACTCAGGCAGCAGGCATACTTCTAAGACAGACCCTAACGTCCTCTGTCCTCCTGGCATTCACATCTCTCCATCTGAGTGCGGGCCCAATCTAGGGCTTGTTTCTAATGAATTAAATAACACAAGCAGGTTGGGATACCACTTCTGAGGTTAGGTTACAAAAGTTTGTGATGTCCATCATGCTACTCTCTCTCTTGCTGGTTTTGATGAAGTAAACTGCCATGCTGTAGAGGCCCATGTGACAAAGAACGACCTCCAGACAACAGTGAGTTAAAAACTGAGCCCCTCAGTCCAACAGCCCTCAAGGATCTGAATCCTGTCAGCAGCCACTGACTAAGCTTGGAAACACATCCTGTCCCAGTGGGATATTGATTGCAGGCTTGTGAGAGACCCTGAAGTAAAGGGCCCAGTTAAGCTTTGCCTAGATTCCTGAGCCACAGAAGCTGTGTGTTGTTTTAAGTGACTAAGTTTTCGAATAATTTGTTACACAGCAATAGTTAACTATTACAGGTTATAACAACTCTTTGGGGTTAATGAGGGGATTTGAGGTCTACAGACCCAACTGCCTAATATAAGAACTTGGAATCTTAATGAAGATAAATGAGTTTAATATAAAATGTTCACATGCATATGTTTATGCTTGAAAACTATGTATCAGATAAGAGAAAGAGTGGAAGAAAGAAAGGTGGTTTAGAAAGTCTTCTTGAATACACAAATGGAGTTACTCCATTCTGCATACTGCCATGGACGATCTTAGATGTTATCTAGTCTAATTTGCTAGCATGCAGCATCCATTTTATAAACTTGACAGTGTAAGGAATCTGTATGATGATCTCATTTTTATGATCTTTTGTAGTACTGGACTTAGCTTCTCATCCTATCATTTGGTGTGGTAGGAAATTCTAGGATGGCCCCAAAACTCCCAACCCCTAGGCTAGATGCCCAGTATAATCCACTCCCTTTGAATGTGGTAAATATGATGAGATATCATTCTCATGATTATGTTCCAGTATATGGAAAAGAGATTCTTTTCAGATATAATTAAGGGTGCTCATCAGTTGGCTTTGAATTTACCAAAGGGAGATTACCTTGGGCCTGTCTAACCTAAGCAATTAAGCCCATCAAATAGAGATAACAAACAGCAGATGATCTGTTGGTCTTGAAGAAGCAAAATGCAATGTTGTAGGAGGGCCATGTGGCAGCTGAAGAATTAATAGCCCACCAAAGTAGTATGAAAATTACATTGAACTGAATATGTCTGAACAATCAGCAGCCACAAGCAAGAAACATTATCTATACTTAAACCAAGTCTCTGAAAACATAGTCGCCATTGATTTTCCTCCCAGAGAGTTTCTTGGTTGGGGAAAAAAAAAACAAAAAAACTGACCTTAGCACCAGAAGTGTGAGTTCAGCTATTCATCAGAATTAAAAAAAAAATTAGAACCTTCCATGCTCTCCCATTGAAGGCTTACCCATCCTTCTTTTGTTAGGTTTCGTGTATGAGCCTTTCTGGTTATTCAGTGAGTTACTCGTCTTTGAGTGCTTCCGCATGTACATCTTGTATACATAAATAAACCTTGTCTTTTCCCCTGTTTATCTGTCTGTTGTCAATTAATTTGTATACCACCAATCACTGGATTCAAATCGAAAGAGCAAACGTTCTCCTCCTTACAGAGTGAAGAATGGGCAGCTTCTAGGAGCTGAGGGTCACCATCCTACAACTAAAGGAACTAGAGTCTGCCTACAATTAGCAAGCTCGCAAGAGGAGCCTCAACGTCAAATGAGATTACAGCCTTGGCCAACACTTTGATTTCAGTCTGGTGCAGTCTAGCCTTCACGTTAAAGTAAACTAGACAATGCAGTGCATTGAGAGCAGCACTGAAAGGGGTGCTGGGAGCCTAGGCTTGAATTCAAGCTCACTAACTCACAGTTTAACACTGGAGAGTCATCAGATTGTTGACAGTTCTGGCTTTGAGTTTCTCGATTGTTCACTTAGTATACTCTCTACACCTACTTCATAGGATTCTTACAAGAAAGAAATGAATCCATGTTCATGAAAGTTCCATAAAACAACTATAAAACTTAAATTACTATTATTTTCTTATGATGATATATCTAATCACAAAACACCTACTCACT